ACATTGTACATATCTTAAGTCTTTCTGACTGTAGCATATTCAGTTTTACAGTACGTCTCCGTACTCAGAATAGGAAGATACTTTAATTCTTCCCTATTTTTATACATTCATAATTTGTGCTTGGAGGCCATTTCAGTTATTTCTTACTACAGCAAATTTTTGTCTTTGTTGCAAATGAAATCCATCACATTCAGATCCTGTTAGCCACTTCTGCAACATTAAGGACAAAAAAAAAAAAGACAGAAATACTCATCCAACAATGACAGCTGATAAACCATTAAAGGCTTCACGAAAATTAAAACATTAACTCAGCCTTTTACATTTTTGTAATTGTTGTTAGCCCAATATTGCACAATAGTGCAATAATGGCATTTCCCCAACACTTTCACTTACTAATTCACAGAATTTATGCCAAAAACACCAAAACCAGAAGCCATCCCAGCTTAAACATGACAACATGGAAAATTTGTCTCTGTGATACTTAAGGCAAGTCAGTTCCTAATGTATCTTTATTTTCAAGCTTTTTAATGTCCATCTTTTTAATCAACCTTAAGGTGATACATTTCCCAATTTTTTTTTTTTTCCAAACAGCATAATTCCCAGAAGAAGTTAAGCCATCAAAGCCAAGTCCTATTAGGTTCCTACACAAAGCAAGTTTCCCATGACATTACTCATAATTGTAGAGCTTTGCACAGGTGAACTAAACCAGGACTCTCCTTCCTCAGTCTTCTGTGGTTTGAAACCAGTCTTGAAATTCAGCCTCTTTACTGATTCTGTAGTTACTGCTTCATCAATAGTTTACACACCTCCTCCATGACCTACAGTCCAGCAATATTTCAAAGTGCAGGAGCTACATTTCTCCTCCTCATGGCAGCAGTGCAGCTCCAGCTTCACTGTAAGCACTTGGTACCATGACAGGGTGCCCGAACTGCTTGAAAGCACATATAAAAAGTTTTAAATAGGTTACGAGCAAGTTTAAACAAGATTTTACCCTGTTGCTAGTAGCTGTGCTTATGAGATAACCATTTATTGCTCCAAGTAGGTATATGGCACTCTGTCAAGACAGAGGACAGAGAAAAATAGAGAAGAGCAGTTCCATAATGTGCAGTTTCTGGTCAAAGAGCAAGTGATCCCCCACCACCAGCTGTACAGAACAGGGTAAATTAAATCAGCAGCATTTACAAGAACAGCATTTGCTATGGTTGACTGCTTCCTGCTGTCATAAATGTTCCACTTCGGTCATCAGACAAACCAACATCTAATTCTGTCACCTTATTTACAATCCCAACTTGCCTAGACTTTGAGTATTGACTAATCCGGTTAATGAGATTAAATTAAATCTTGTTTTTAAGAAGAAGTGGTATGATTACTCACGCGACCGCAAACCCTGGGTTCTTCCTGCAGTCACTCTACTGAATTCCCATAGAAGTTAAAATGGAAAAAAAAAAAAAAAAGAAAATACTTCAGTTTGGCCAATGACCACACTGGGAATCATATACTTGCCTAGAGGAGCAGAACTCAGCCACCCTTGGCAGACTGATACCACTGCAGTTCTGTGATTAAAATGAGGGTGCGGGATCCCCTGGCTTGGGATTTCCACACTTATCTTACCCATCTGGGATTTGAATATTGCCAAGCCTGAAATGAGATCAGTCCGTACCTATCCCTTCATCTGTCACACTTTAAATTCAACCAGCATACACAGTAGTCACATTCATTTCAGCAATAAACCTCCAACTATTCAGAGGGACCTGAATTATTTTAATCTCTAATGATTTTTTGCTTGTTACATAAATTACTTCAGCCAGAATATGTAACTGTTTTACTGTAAATACAAGTCTATAGCCACCATAAAACCCCCAAATTTTTTCCATTTCAATTGCCCAGTGACACAAAGGAATAACTTCCACTGTGTCACAAAGATCTTAGTCACACAGTTTTGGTTTTTTTAAATGGAGACCAAGTATTGCTGACAAAAATATTCAGTGTGCCCCTCTAAGATTAGAGCTCATCATTTTCAGACAATATTGTTAATAAAATGCTGATTAATGTTAAAAAGAATCTGAAGTGGGAGGAACAGTGAAAATGAAAAGGGTTTGAGGTTGGAAAGCTATGTTACAGTTGAGCCAGTTTAACAACCTGCTGATGTCAACAGTGGGAGCATCCTGTCCTCCTTCACCACCTGGCACTGCCTCTGGTGCTTGTTAGATCCTGCACCAAGCTAACACAGCTTGCTAACCCAGCAGAACACTAATCCATCAAAAATAAATCCGGATCAAATATCTCTCTGCTGATTAGCAAGTTTTTTCAGAGCAGCATGGATTCCGAGAAGTGCCAGGACCAATTCAAGCAGATGGGGGAGGTCTGCAAAGGCTAGGACAGGGAGGAGGGAGGTGAACCACTCTTTCAGTGGCAAACCGCTGGGCTAGCATCAGTACAGTGTTTATTTTCACCCCAACAGTCCTTATCTCAGACTGGAACATTTCAAGGAGTCACTGCCTCCACAGCTGAGGGCACTATGAGCAGCCCTGCTCCATCTCACTGCAAATAAAGCCGAGAGTTTAAAGCCCCTCTCAGACAGATCCACCACTCAGGCTCCTGGAGGGTATTTTAGCAAGACAACATTAACCTGCAGGAGAAAGTTAAAGCTGGAAGGGAAAGCTGGAAGCATAACTTCTTAAAGGGCAGCAACTAGACCTGCAAAACCTGTTAAATTTCTATTTGACCCAAATGTGAGCTAGCACAAGATAAGCACAGAAGACATGTTTCGGAGGGCTTCTGAGTCCCCACCTATCTATTCTCTGGGGGGAAAAAGTATTCTTAAAAAAAGGCATTCTAAAATAAACACTTATTTTAAGTCCCCAGTCAGTAAAAATATAAATTCATATTCCAAGGTGGACTGAAAAATGGTTGAACTGCCAGACCAGAAGGGTGGTGGTCAGTGGCACAAAATCTATTTGGAGGCCAGTAACCTGTGCCATACCCAAGGGGTCAGTGCTGGGTCCAGTCCTGTTCAACATCTTCCTTAATGACCTGGGTGATGGGGCAGAGTGTACCCTCAGCAAGTTTGTCAATGATACCAAACTGGGAGGAGTGGCTGATACACCAGAGGGTCATGCTGCCATCCAGAAGGACCTCAACAGGATGGAGAAACGGGCTGACAGGAACCTCATGACCCTCAACCAGGAGAAGTACAAAGTCCTGCACGTGGGGAGGAACAACCCCAGGCACCAGTATATGTTGGGGACCACCCAGCTGGAAAGCAGCTTGGCAGAAAAGGACCTGGAGCTCCTGGTGGACACAAAGTTGAAGAAGAGTCAGCAATGTGCCCTTGCTACAAAAAAGGCTAATGGTATCCTGGTCTATGTTAGACAAAGTACTGCCAGCAGGTCAAGGGAGGCGATCCTTCCCCTCTGCTCAGCACTGATGAGGTCACACCTGGAGTCCTGTGTCCAGTTCTGGGCTCCTAGAACAAGACAGACATGAACATCCCAAAGAAAGTCTGGCAAAGGGCCACAAAGGTGAAGGGACTGGAGCATCTCTATGGCAAAAGGCTGAGAGAGCTGGGACTGTTTACACCGGAGAAGAGAAAGTACAGGGAAGATCTTACTTATGCCTATAAATGTTGGAAGGGTTGGTATAAAGAAGATGGAGTCATGGTCTTCTCAATGATGTCCAGTGACAGAACAATACTCAATGGACACAAACCAAAACAGGAGGTTCCTCCTCAATATCATGAAACATCTTTTTTTTTTTTTACTGTAAGTGTGACCAAGCACTGGCACAGGTTGCCCAGAGAGGTTGTGAAGTCTCCATCCTTGGAGATTTTCCAAAGCCATCCAGACATGGTCTTGGGCAACTGGCTCTAGGTGGCCCTGCTTGAGCAGGGGGTTGGACCAGATGACTTCCAGAGGTCCCTTCCAACCTCAACCATTCTGTGGTTCTGTAATCTCATCCTCAATCTTCAACTGTGTCCAAGCTATATTCAGAGAATGGCAGCTACAAGACTTGGAGCATAGTTAAGTGAGCTCAGTCTTGCTGCAAGCACAAGCTCTGGCAGAGGAACATGCTTAGCAAGCCTTAGCTCTCCTGTACCCTCTTTCTTCAGAGGTAAGACAGCTGACACAAGAGATTGCAGACTTGCCTCCATTAAGTTTATTTGTTGAATGACTTCCCCAGAGAGTAGAGCGTGCTCCATTAGCTACTGCAGCCATTATAATCCCCTTCGGCATTGTGACAAATCTGTAAAGTAGCCTCAGTTAAGCGGAAAATCTGACCCCCCAGCACTAAACATTATGACAGGGCACTCCAGGGACACTCCAGGTGTTCTTGATGAAACCAAGTCTGGAGCTCATTTGAAAAGTGCTGGTCTCAGGATTTTCCTAGTTCACACTATTGACTTCTGATGTAACCGAATTTACATGAAGTGGTAACAGCAGTGAACACTTAGCACTGCCAAAACCAAACAGCTTCCAGCTTCATTTCAGCCACCAGGTTAGACAAGCCGCTCTAATGGGTCTCATCTCTAGTGAATTTGGTCTGCAACGCACTGCTCCTATACTCTCTCGTGTTTAAATTCAGTTAATTTCTAGACAAAGTAATGGCCTTCACAGCAAACGTGGCCACAAGCAACTATGATTGTAAGTTTTTCTACCTCTTCTCCACATTGCGATAGTGGTGATCTTTCATCTCTCTGTAGTGAGAAAGACATCAGCTTCGGAGTATCTAAAAAAGTTGTTTTATCTTATTCCTGGAATCTTGGCTATGTACTACTGCTCTGATTAAGAACCAGTTCACACTGACTACCAGACAGGTTATCAGATCTTTAAATGTGCATTATATATAAGGGAAAAGAGAAATGGCAGCTCATGTTCATTGACACCCATGGCCATTGCCCCCAGCCGCTCCTGATAGTATGATATACATTAGGAAAAAAGCCAATAGTATAGCAAAGCAAAAAGGAACAAAGCCAGTCTATAGTATAAATCTGCACCTCCTACCTCCGCTCGACCTTCATAATATGTTAGCATAGACTTTGTAAGTACAAAAAGCCTCTCTTTGTAGTTTAACGGTGAAGTCCTCTTCTTCTGCTGTGATCTTTTAATCAAAATCTCTTGTAGGATAGTAGTCATATTCATTTCAGCCACTTGCCACCTCTGTTTTTAGCCATTGAATATCAGTTCCTGTGAAGATGAAAGAAAAAAATCATTACATCTTTAGCACATCACAGGTCTGGAGATTTCTGTAGTAAAAAGAGCTTCTACTTATAAATGAAACTACCCGAATACACAGAAAGCTGGAGCTCACCCCAAGCATCTGGAAGTTTACAGAAGTTAATTATTAGACAAGAAAGTTCAAGCTTTACTCAGGGAGGGCTGCACTGGCATGTTCCCAGGAAGCCAAAAGCTGCACCTGACTGGAATGAAATAAGGGACACAGAAATTATGGGCGAGAAGTCCAAAACATACTCCAGACAAACAGCAATGTACAACTGCTCTTCACTGCAAAGTCCTAATGTCTATCAAAGTTTTAATTGCCAAGGCCTGTGCATATATAAATGCCATTTGCTAAAGCGTTTGAGATACTTTTACTGATCCATGTTCCATTTTGTAATTTTGAAAACTCACCCCAATTATATTAATGAAAATTTTCAGATGCAAATGGCCGTTTAGAAGACGTCAGTTTGACAGCACAGAACTAGAGCTTATTTTTCAGAAGTTGCTAATATATGCCCCCCCGTCTCCTTAGAAAGACTTCACGCTGACCATCAACAATCTAAACCATTCGCTTTTTACAGTTCTGGTTGCTCAGTAACATCAAGCTGCTTCGAAGTTTTACACCACAATTGATACCTGGAGGACAGACTTAGGAGCGCATAAAAACGAACGCGTCCACGGTTACTTGGTTCGCAAGCCCGGCTCCAGAGCCCTGCCAGGCAGCGAGCGCCTGGCAATCTCTCCGTCCTCCGCAACGGTGCCCGCTTAAGCGCCGCTGGCCTCCTCCCTCATCTGCTCGCTGCCGCCCTGCCACGCCGCCGCCCCGCGTGGGTGCGAGCATTCCTCCCGCTGGGCTGGGAAGCGGGCTCGGGAAGGGATCCAGACATTTCATCACGCGGCGCAGACTTCACGCGTGCGGTGGCACGGAGGCAGGAACAAAGGGTGTGGGAGAGGTTGGTTGCGGAGAAGCTGCTCCAGAAACCTTTTCCCCCCACCCCATCACCTTTCCCAGAGGTGCCCACTGCACCGCCCGGCCCCCACCTCAAGCTGTGCTCCAAAGCTGGGGCTTGCTGCAGGCACAGACCTCGAGCCCAGCTTGGGCTAGAGCAGCACGGCTGTAGGCTGAAGCCATGGCTTGAAGAAGGAACAGCAGCATCTGCTGAAGCACCGCCGACTTACGAATATCTTCAAGTGCGTGTATGTGTGGAGGGGGCGGGGGGAATAACTCAAGCTGGAGCCCTAGATAATCACTGCACATCTCTGTACCAGTAGGAAATCTCCCTCCAACCTATAAAAAAAACCCACTTCATTTCTCCATTTCATAGTATTGCGCAGAGAAGCTTGAAAAGCCACAAGCCTCCTTACAACATTACCTTACAAAAGTAAATTTTAAATAAAATTAGATGTAAACAAATTCACTTCAGTAATTCTCCTTTTGCTTTATTCCTAAACATGTCATTATTTGTTGTGACAGTACATGAAATGACACCCTACGCCTTTCAGTCTAGTCCTGATACTGTGTTTTACTCTCTGCTTTGGCCAACTAAGCTCTCGTATCCCACATTCCTGCCATTTCACACAGCTGGATGTAGTTGTTCACTGCTTTAAAATATCCTTTTCTTTTAAAGGTATATCTCTGCAGGTACTAAAAAAATTAGTTCGTGGTTTACATGGAACTACAAACTAAGACCAGGTTAGAACGCATAAGTAAAAGACTATCATAGGATTGGAAATGGTGATTATTATGAATAATCTCTTTTTGGTTTTCCTCTTCCTCTGATGCACGTACACACATACATTTTGTTGACCAATCTGTCACATTGCATTCCTGGGAAGACAGACCTTTTCCAATTAGTAATTGTCTTGAGTGCATTCTTCAATTACTAAAGCTGCCCAATTTTGTTTTATTACCCTTGTAAAAATAAATTGTCAATCTGAAAGGCAATTGCAGAAGGAAGGATACAACCACGAACTTAAAATACATTGTTCAGAGAATTAAAAGTCAGTATTAACTTTCAGACCAGCTTAATGCACATGAAACTATAAGGGTTCCTACCACAGGCTCTCCCACTCAAAACAATCCTGTTCTCTGTAGTACAAATTCTCTGTTGGCACTTAAGAAAAACACAGTAATTACCCATCTTAGACACTGTGATCTCAGGGATCCTCAGAGTGCTATACACGAGAGCACAAAAAGGATTAAAAGTTTAATTTCAAATCTCAATACTGATAATGCTGAAGTGTTTCATTTCCCTACCAGCCCTCTTTGGTCACTTTAACATTACACAAGAAACAACACAAAAATCCTTTTGACAAAAATCAGCATTAAAAAAATAAAAACATCAATAATGTAATTGGTCAATGTCTGCACCTGGTTGCTACACTGAATTATCTCTGCTATGAAGATCTCTGCAGATTAGAACCAGTTTCCCAGGTCAGATCAGCCTTTCAATCTGCATTTGATCACAGAAACCCATTTGTTTGGGGGTTTTTCCAAGCCAATGGCTCTAGCCACGTTTCTGTTTCCATAAATAAGGCTCAGGACAACTGAACCCTGACCTATTATTCGGAATGTTCCTTTTCGAAGTTGCAGGACTTCCTTGAGAAGCACCCTGTAACAGCCACCCTTACCTCTTATCACACCCATACATCACTGCTTTTCCTTCGGTACAGTTTTCAAAGTTTTCTGCACTCCTCCCCCCGCCCCCAAAATGTTCCACTGTTTCCAGATGATCCCTCAGGACATGAAGCTGGTTGCATGACACACTGGTATCTTGTTCCAAACAGCTGTGGGAGTTTCATGCTGCTACCCACCTAAACTTTTCACAGGATCACTCCTGCCACGGACTTGCCCTGCTCCCTGCCAACCTTAGTTATATGGTAACAAATACGATCTAATGCGCAGAGGTGCTGAGTACTCAGAATTATGACTGAAGTCAGAAAGTTACAGACTTTTAGGGTGGGAAAACATTCTCAACTTGAAGTATCAAAAAGTCTGCGTCTACTTCCACGATCCATCTCCACATCATACACATAACTCACCTGTATGGCCACGAAGTCATCACACACCTTCCTCAAAACAGAACAAAACCAACTGTTAAGATAAATCTGCTAAGTCAATATTGGTCAAGATGTACAAAGTAAGTTTTCACTTGTGGACAGAGCTTCTTATGCATGCCACCTTTTCTGGTTTTCACCGGGGAAACTGAGGCACTAAATGACGAGATAACGCCAGCAGTTGCAACACTACCCAGGTATCTCCTGGTTCCCACTCCCAGCTCCTGGATTGTGTTTGTTTATTGAAACAATTAGTCACCATATGCACCGTATGTAAACACACATAACACTCAAGCAGTTGAATAAATGTACTAAAATCCCAGTGGACGGTCTAGTGAGTAGAAAAGAGAAAGCACATCCCAATCTGACCAAGGCTTCTCTGATCCAAATGTATTAAGTAATAGTTACTTTTTATAGCACAAAGCTTTGTATCACACAGTCATGGAGTGGTTCAGAAGGAAAAAAAGACATTTTGAAAAAAAAAAAACAAACCCACACCACACTTATCACAACAGTCATAGATCAAACAATGACAGTTCTGTGGCTGAAAACCAAAGTAAAATAAAGCTGGAACTCTGTTTTCTGAGTTTCAACCCCTCCTTAGTGATGGTAACATTTACCTAGGAATCTGGGTTCCTCAGTGTAAAGTCTTAATGCTAAGCAGATGGGCTGCCACTCAAGCCAGAGAATCCCTCTAAGAAATCAGCATCCTCAGCTTTCCCGAGTTGGGTTTCGTGCATCCTGCACAAC